TCCACCCCCTCCCCCCCTCGTTTCTCCTCCTCCTGCTGGTGAGCTGGGGTTGGGGAAGGGTCGGCTCCCACTGCATCATGGCTTTTGTACGTTACTTTGTTTCGTGAGGTCTGTGTGCAGTCTGGTGCAGCCTTCTTTCCCGTTGCTGCTTTAGGGCTAATTGTATTAACTATATTTTCACACTATATGTGGTTTTGGGAGGAATTCTCTGTCTCACCTCTCATGCCGCCATCTTGAATCTGCCAATATGGATTCTTTTTAAGCAGAGATAAAAAAAATTCATGTAGTTTGTGTGCAAATGATTCTACCAGATACCCTCTCCTAACTACTCATAATGTTTGGGTAGTTTTATAAATGTTGAAACACTGTATGGTTCTGTCTGTTGCCTCAAGGGTTTAATGTGCTTTTGCCATAGTATTAAAGGAACAGAAAGGAAACTGACTGGAAAGGGAAGGTGAGTTAGAGCTAGAGAATTTAAATAGGCTCTAAGGAATCCTTTCAAGTAAAAGTTAAAAGGTATTTGTTTTCCTAGAAACATCTTCAGACAGGAAGGAAAACAGAAAGCCTGCAATTTCAGTTTTGCTGGTGCTACACAAGAAAAGAGTTTTCATTTCCTGGCCAAACCTGTGAACTGAATCTCTTCATCTCTAAAATGAGGATTAGCTGTACAATGTACCTTGACAGGGTAAAATGAGATGAAAAGAGTACTTGAAAGCATGACTTTCTTCCTACTGTGAAGCAGAGACATTGGCAGATTCACAACTCGTGTTTAAAATGCATATGAAGGAACAATTTGAACTTCAAAAAATAGTAATTATAGGAATAGAGTATATCACATAAAATAAGAGGCAGACAGATAGACAGGAAAGAAGGGAAAGCTTTCTTTGCAGTAGAATGCCAACTGGTAAGCATAGGAAGGAATAATTGAGTTCGGAAACTGCCATTTAGTAATAATCAGAATAACAACTGACTCAGCAAGACTTATTAATAGCTCCTAAAATAGTAAAAATTTGATAGATGAAAGGATATTTACATAGTCTCAGAGTACCTCCTTACAAATTTACTTATTAATCACAAGGGAAAACAATAATTATACAGTGGAAAACCTTGCAGATACCACCTTACCCAAGTATCAGTGTTTACATTTATAATGACACAGATGAGTCAGAACCTCATCTGTGCCTCATGATATGATGTGCTGAGAACACAATGTCATTTATGCAGTATTCCTGCCAGAATTCACAACCTGAGTCTAAGCAGAGGGAGTATCAGATAAAACCAGATCAAAAAACATTGTATGAAGTAAATGGCCCATGCTCTTCAAAAATGTCGGTGTCTCACCCTCGTATACTGGGAATGTAAATTAGTTCAGCCATTGTGGGAAGCAATATGGAGGTTCCTCAAAAAGTTAAAAATAGAAATATCATCTGACCCAGGAATTCCACTCCCAGGAATTTACCCAAAGAAAACAGTATCTCAGATTCAAAAAGACATATCACCCCTATGTTTATTGCAGCACTATTTACAATAGCCAAGATATGGAAGCAACCTAATTGTCCATCAGTAGATGAATGGATAAAGAAGATGTGGTATATGCACACAATGGAATATTATTCAGCCATAAGAAGAAAACAAATGCAACCATTTGCAACAATATGGATTGAGCTAGAGGGTATTATGCTCAGTGAAATAAGCCAGGCAGAGAAAGACAGATACCAAATGATTTCACTCATTTGTGGAGTATAACAACAAAGCAAAAGTGAAGGAACAAAATAGCAGCAGATGCACAGACTCCATGAAAGGACTAGCGGTTACCAAAAGGATAGCGGGTGGGGATGGTGGGTAGGGAGGGAGGGATAAAGGAATTAAGGGGTATCATGAGTAGCTCACATAATGTAGGGGGATAATGGGGAAGACAGTGTAGCACAGAGAAGACAAGTAGTGACTCTGTAGCATCTTACTATGCTGATGGACAGTGACTGCAATGGGGTGTGTGGGGGAGGACTTAACAATATGGGTGAATGTAGTAACCACAATGTTGCTCATATGAAGCCTTCATAAGATTATATATCAATGATACCTTAATTTAAAAAATGTCAATGTCATGAAAGACAAAGAAGCTGAGGGACCTTTCCAAATTAAAGAAGACAAAAGACATGAAAACTAAATGCAATATGTGATCCCTCACTAGAAAAGAGAAATTTATATAAACAATAATAATAATGAGACAGGTAGAATTTGAATGAAGTCTATATTATGTTGGTATTGTATCAAAGTTCAATTTCCTGATTTTGAGAGCTGTGTTTAAAAAAGGATTTCCTTCTTCTTAAGAAATATACATTTACATGGAAGTGCACACTTTAGTGAAAAAAGGGTTTATTCTTATGTGACTTATTCTTATGTGATTTATGTTGCTGGTTTATTCTTATTTGATTTAGGAAAAAATTATATGTATATATGGAAAGATGATAAAGCAAATGTGGGATGGTAAATATTGGTGAATCAGGAAGAAGGGTATATGGAAATTCTTTATACTATTTTTGTAATTTTTTGGGTAAGTTTGAAATTGGTGGGGCATTTGAATTTTGTCTTACACCCAACCAAGCCTTTTCCAGAACTGTCTTTCTCAGTGAGGGCGTCACCATCTAATCTGGCACATCAGTCAAAAAACTAGGAATCATCCCTAACAATTCCTTCACCCTTACCCCATGCTCAGTCAGATCACTAAGTTTTGCCAATCTTATTTCTTAAGTATTTCTCAAATCTATCCATATCTTTCCATCTTTCTATCGTTTTAATCTAAAAAATCTCTCACTTAAGCTACTATAATACATCCTACCTGGTCTCTTTACAGCTATACTGCCTCTTCTCCAATCATTTCTCTGTAATTTGAGAATAATCTTTAGGAAATGCTCATCTTTACAACATAAAAATCGTTATGAAATGAAAACCTTTCTACCTGTTGTCTACCCAGAACACTTCAATGGCTTCTCAAGAAGATCTATAAGACCCAGTACCTAGCCTAATAGTTCTTACATGGTTTTTAGTCTAAGGGTCCCTTTCCATTCTCAGGCACTATTAAAGGTACCCAAAGCATTTTTCTATATGTGCGTATGTCTTTCAATATTAATTGTATTAGAAATTAAGATAAACTTTGAAAATATTTTTTAGTAATTTCTTTACAATAATTACTCATATCTGTTTGTACAATCTGTAACAAAATAATATGTTGTTTTGTCTGAAGTACATGACAGTTTCTCAGAGATACATAATTGAAAAGAGAGGACCACACAGAACCCCCTCAAAGAGTCCCTAAGAACCTTAGGGGTTCTCAGACCCCACTTTGAGAATCATAGTCCTCGCCCTACTGCCATCGTTAATTTCATCTAACAGTGTGCTCCTTTCTGCCATATGATCTTTGCATATGCTATTCCCTTTGCCTACAGAACTTTGCAGCCACTTCTTCCATTCCCTTTTCTTCATTAACTCTTACCAGACTTTAAAAACTTAAAGTCTAAGTTCAACTGTCATTACCTCTGGAAATCCCTGTCTGAATTCCCTAATTGGATTAAAGCCTACCCTTACACTATGTCCTTCTTTTGGGGCAATAAAAACCTTTATTGCTGGTCCTGTTTACTTTCCTGTATCTCAGTGTTTTCAAATTGAGCATCATGAACCATCGGAGGGTAGTACAATCAGTTTCATGGGTCATGATTGGTATTTTTTGAAAAACAATGTAGGACTTAAATACCAGAGTACATCAGAAGATGTAAGGGTAAATATTGTGTTGTTAAACTTTATGTATATATATTTGCATGTGAGAGCTATGTTATGTTGTAATATGATAGGTATTTTTTACTGTGGGTCTCAGTCTAAAAAGTTTGAAAGTCAAGAGTTCCACACCATATTATCATCTACTGTACACTCCCATTTCTTTAAAGCATTTTCAGTCCCTGTCACTACATTATGCGAATAGCTTATTTTAGTAACACTGAACTAGTTATGAGAGAAAGATAACTGGTAATAGTTTCAAATGTTGGTGAGAAGAACTAAGACAAAAAAGATTGACAGTACTAAGTGTTTACAAGGATTTGGCACAACTGGGACATTTACACATTCCTGATGGAAGTGTAAATTAGTTGAATTAGTATAATCACTTTGGAAAACTTTGGTACTGTCTTCCTAAGCTGAACATATACATATCCTGCAACTCAGCAATTCCACTCCTAAGTGTGTATACAACAGAAATGTGAACATGTGTACCAAAAGCCACATTCAAGAATAGTCGTAGTAGCATTATTAATAATAGCCCCAAAGTGGAAATGACCCAAATATCTATCAACAGTAGAAAGGATAAATGGAATACTATCCAGTAATGAGAACAAATGAATCAATCCTCTATGCTATACTATGGGTGAATCTCAAACTTAGTATTAAACAAAAGAAACCTGACACTAAAAGTACAAAAATGAGTGAAATAAATCTGTGTGTAAGAAGTCAAGATAGTGGCTACTTTTGATGGTGGGGAGTGGTTAGTCAGAGGGTATATGGGGAGGTTTCTGGGTTGTTGATCATGTTCCATTTCTTTATCTGGGTGCTTATTATGTGTATGTATGAATTTTTTGAAAATTTATTGATCTGTATTCTTGATTTTTGTGTATTTCTTTATAGTTATTAAAAGTTAAAAATTTATAAATTTTCTGTTTTTAGATTTAATAGCAAATCAATGCAATTTAGGGGCCATTTTTCAAGTACTTACTTTTTATAAGGCAAAGTGCTAGCTGTTGGGAATACAGTGATGAACAAATGGGGATCTTATTTTCTAAGGACTCAAAATTCTTTTTGCAAGATACCTACTCAAGTAACACCATCCAGACTGACTGGTGAGAATGTAGTGTTTGAAGTCATGCCTAAAGTTGATACAATGCTTTTGTTTCTGTTTTTTGTTTGTATGTTTAGTTTTATGACATCTTAATCATGTCCATTTGTTCTTTTCATAGCATCTGACAGATACCTCCCATGGTGTAAGGAATAAGTGCTTGCAATTACTTGGCAATCTTGGCTCTTTAGAGAAAAATGTGACAAAAGATGCAGAAGGCCAAGCTGTCAGAGATGTCCAGAAGATTATAGGGGATTACTTCAATGACCAAGACTCACGTGTCAGAACAGCAGCTATAAAAGCCATGGTAAATGTGATCATGGAACCTAAATGGGGACAGTCTTGTTTGTTTGTTTGTTTGTTTTAAAGTTCATGGGTAGTACTGCCTTGGAAACCTTCCTAATCCTCCTAGGATTTACCTTAATCATACTTTCAGGAAGGTAGTGGTGGCATCAGAGAAAGGCACGTGTTCCTGTACAGCAACTGTGGTTTCCTCTGGGCTCTCTGGTAGCTTTCACCCAAGTTTCTGAAACATGGAAGGTGGAGCTTGTACCTGTCATAGTGTAATACCCGGTAACATCCCTCCCAGGCACCTGTGACACTTAGTACAGGTTGTCCCTTCCATGTTTCAGAAATGTAGGTAAGTTACCAGGGTTGAGAGGGGGATGCTTTTTTAGGGGGAGTTGGTATTAACTGTTTCTTCCTCAGCCTTACTATTTCATATTTGTTTTAATATCCCCTTGAGATAATCCATGGGTTAAATTTATTGAATGTTTGAATACTTCTACTGAAAGATCTTTGAACAGGTTTGTTATTTGTAGTGCACCAATTTTGACTAAAGGGAACCATGTTAATCTGATAGAAGGGGGGAAAGTATATGAGATTGTGGGGTGACATTGGAAATAGTGACCTTTTTTCCAAATACCTAAACTATTATTATCTTTACTATCTAGTTGCAGCTCCATGAAAGAGGACTGAAATTACACCAAACAATATATAACCAGGTACCTTAAATTTCCACTGTCTGGAAGGGGAGGAGGAGGTATCATGAAACTGGGAGGGTGGCACACTTGTCAGAATTTGAAAACAGAACTTCAGCTGGCTAACTGACAACATTAATTAGGATGAATGTAAAGTTGTATCTAAAACGTACATTCTAAGAAGAGAGTGCAGATACGTAATTGAATAACACTAGTTCAAATAAAAAGGATTTTTAGGAGGATTTAGGTATGTCAATATGAATGAATACTAAAGTTCACAAACAGAAGAGTAGTGTTCAGAATACGTAAAGTGGTAGACTTGCTAACCCCTGGTTGGGCCAAACATGAAGTCAGTTCTGGGGACCACACCTGACAAACTAGTATTCTGGCAGAGGATGACCAAGACCACACAATCAATGAAAAGATATCACATTGTATACTGATAATGAAAGGATCATGATGTAGTATTATCACAAGGGGAATCTGATTGACTCCCTCACCAAGAGGCCTTACATAGTTATATTTTTCTTGTAGAATTATTGAATGAATCTAGAGACAAGCAATCTAAATCCATGCTCAGAGACCAGATTTTGTTAGCCTACTAAGAATGGTTTTATCTTTCAGAGGGAGATGATAATTAGCCAAACCCCTATGACTTATGTGTAAGCCAAGTTTATTTTATGAATGAAGTAGAATGAGATCAGAATGGTTGTGTTGACATGACCAGCACCTTCTCTGCTTATAATAAAACAATGTAGGAAGCCAAATGATTAAAGTAAACTTGGAGAGTAAGGACTCAGAGGAAAAAGAGTTGATGATTCAGATGTTTAGTAGCATAAGACTATGCCTGTTAACTATACAGGCAATGAAAAGGACCTCAAAGGAGTGAAGTGGAGGGTTTGAAATATTAGGTACCATAATGAGTTCAGTTTAGTTATGTTGAGTTTGAAGGGTTGATGAAGACACCCATAAAGAAAATTCCAGGTTCTGTGGAGGTCTGGAGCTCAGGAGAGATCAGAGGTGGATATTTAGAGCCATCCCTATGTGGGGGTCATGGGGACACCCAGAGAAAGTAAGAAGATTGGAAGAGACCAAGGATGGAGCCATGGATAAGATCCAACATTTAAGCAGTAGATAGGAGAAAGGAGCTCTAGAATGGAACTGAGGAGTAGCCACATGGTAGAAGAGGAAGAATATATTACAGAGATGGAGTTCTTATAGTCAACAGTGTCAAATGCTTTCAAAGGTCAGCTGAGTTAGGACTGAAATCTACCCATTGAACTTCGCAACAAAATGGCCATTAGTGAGTTTAAAGAGAGCAATTTTAGTAGAGTTGTGGGGGTGGAAGCCAGATTGGGGTCAGTTGAGGTGAGGCAGTTTGATAGTGATATTGACTACATTTTAAAGAAACTTGGCTATGATAGGACAGCAGGATGGAAGATGGTGGAAGGGGGCACAGGATCAAAGGAGGGCTTTTTGCGTTTTAAATATAGGTGCTAAATATGTTTATATGTTGAAGGGAGAGCTAGTGTTTTGGGAGAAGTTGATGATAGAACAGACAAAGGGAGTAAATAATGAAGTAAGTTCCTTGAGGCAGAAAATCAGATTTATGAGCTGATTCATCCAGTAAATAGTGTACCTCATGCTGGTTGTGTAATACCAAGCGTTTTAGATAGGATCCATATCCTTTGCATTCTCCTGGGTAAGACAGACAGTTAACAAAGAAACACAATAAATATAGCACATGAGTAGTACTCTGAAATAAATAGTGTGCTATAATAGAAAATCACAAAGAGGACTTGTTTTGGAGGATGTTATGGGGAAGGCCTGTGTGAGGAAATGATGGGATCCATAGCAAAAGTAGGAGGATAAAGAATTAGAAAGGACACCTTTCCTCAGATATTGAGAAAGCAACGTGTGGAGAATAGAGGCATAATTTATTTATAATTTACGGAATTTGTGCCTGAGAACCTTGCTTTTCCTCAGATAAGCAGATTGCCTTTTGGCTAGTAGTAGGATAGGTGTCCTGAGGAGGAGCTTAAGAAAAGCTGCCTTGGGAAATGGAAGTGGAAAGGAGGGGTATAAAAGATTTCATAGTAGGGCCCAGAAGGTTCAAGATCATGAGCCACCAATCTCCTAGAGGATGAGGTCTTTGCAGAGCTCTGCTGCTGTTGGGAGGAGTAGAGGAGGTCTTGGGTTTGTAGAGCAGCTGTAGCAGAAGTCAACAGGTTGTAAATGATGCTGCTGACAGTGCTGAGGAGACTGAAGTAATGGAAGCACATGGAGTGAGGAGAAGGTGGGGAAAAGGATGGGATTAAAGCTGTGGTTCTCAACCAAGGTAATTTTGCCCCTCAGGGGATATTTGGCACTGTCTAGAGTTATTTTTTACTGTTTCAGTTGTTGGGGAGGTGGAGAGGGTGTAGTACTAAAACCATCTAGTGGATGGAGGCTCAATGCACAAGGCAGCCCTTCACCAGAAAGTATTGTCCCATCCAAAGTGTCACTAGTGCCTAGGCTGAGAAACAAACTGGTTAAATGAATAGGTAGTGGGATTGAAGAGTGGTGATGTGTTAATTCACAGGAACGGAAGAGCTGGTGGAGTAGCATGTTGTGGTCACAGCATGGAATATAGGATTTAAAAAATTCAGAAGTGGAGTAGTTCTGGGCGTTGTTGAAGTCTAGGGTGTTGCCATGTGGGTGGAGTAGGGATATTTTATTTCAGACCAAAGTAAAACAAAAAAAATCTGGCTTCTTTTGGCAGCTCACCACCAAAGTCGTACATTTAATTAGAGTGTTTGAGATTTCAGAGAGACGGTCAGTCAAAAATGTGTGCTTGGATCTTATAGGTAGGGAAAAAACCCATCTTTGTGGTGTAAGCCTCTGAGAGAAGCACTGTGGGCTCCCAAAAGGCTTTGCAAGGATTGATGCTATTCTAGATGGCTTTTGTGCTGTCTGTCAATCTGTGGTTCTACTTTCACACATGGGGTGGGAGGATGCACAGTCAGAACACAGCCAAAAATTCTTTGTTGGGCAAAGGTTCAAGAAGTTAAAACCACCCACAAGTATTTTGATTGGCATCCTTATCCAGCAGCCACCCTATCTTCATTTTGAAAATAGTTTGAACATCCTGTGAGGATGTAGGACTAACAGGTTTTTGGAATTCTTCTTTGCAGGCTTGTAAATTGCTCTCTGATGACTATGAACAAGTGCGCAGTGCTGCAGTCCAGCTTATCTGGGTTGTCAGTCAACTCTATCCTGAAAGGTCAGTGTGGGTGTTCATTGCTAAGCCATTTTTCTCTCCTTGCACCATGAAAAAAGCTCACCTCCAGAAAAGGATTATTGGTTAGAATTTTGGAAGGCATTGTGGAATAGTTGCCTGGTCCTTTTTCTTCAGCTGTCGTGAACTTCCTGTGTACCCTGGGAAAGGTACTTCACCTCTCTGGGTCATAACCTCTTTGTCTATAATGAAATAGATTGGACTATCTTTCTCAGGTGATGTCCAGTTCCCCCCACCCTTTTATATCTTTAAAATTTGGAGGGACCCATTTTAGTAAGTACAAATGACATATAAAGTTACCAGGTGAGTTTGAGAATAATGATCCCTTATGTAGCATTTTCCTGATTAAAAATACTTTCATAGTAATTAAACTGTATATTCACACAGTGATTTTTTTCAGGTGGAGAGACATATATTATTTATTCTGTTTTATAGAAGAGCTCCTTCTGTAAGGAAAAATAAAGTGTTTTTCTTTCTTTTCAGTAAAGTGCTTGCTGAAATTGGAAATCCAGAATGAGTTAATAATAAACCTATAAATACCAAAAAAACAAAAAACGACTAATTGAAATTGCTTCTTCTTTTAGGACCAGATTTGCAAGTATGTTTTATATTGATTTATTCTGAGATTTACTGTAATGACAGTAATACAGTTAGAGAAAAAGCTTAAAGATGTAAAATACTCTGTGGCAGCTAGTTTTTGGTATCTTCAAAAATCTTTGAACCTTTGGTGGGTTAAGCACTTTTATTCAAGCCACTGAAAGCTTGCAAGGCAACTAAAAGGGTGGTTCAGACTCCCAGAGTGATTTGTTTACTCTGAAATGTATTCCATCGTTCTAGGATTTGAGTTATTCAACTAATCATTTTCTATTTGTGCCAGTTTTTATTGATCATTCTCAATTTACTGAAGCTGCAGCTTTAGGCTTATGTTTTTGTTGTTTCTTTTCCTTTAATTTAGCATTGTCCCAATCCCTTCCTCTAATGAAGAAATTCGCTTAGTTGATGATGCGTTTGGAAAAATTTGTCACATGGTCAGCGATGGCTCCTGGGTTGTTCGAGTACAAGCTGCAAAGCTATTGGTAAGTTATACTTTCTTTAAAGAACATGTTGGCTGTTGCACTTGTACAAATATTTTGAGAAACTATACTTAGGGCCAGTGTAATCCACTTTTAGAAGCCCTAGTATTTATTAAAATAGACATGGCTCACTCCTATGGAGAAGTAATAGTCTTTTAGAACTAAAAAGAATTTTAAAGATAATCCTGTATAACCTCATTAGCATATGAGACAGACAAGTCCTAGAGAAAAAGGAAAACAGTAATAAAAATAGTTGGTGCCATTTACTAAGCATGTGTTAGGACCTAGATACTTTGCTATGAGGCCATTTATTCTTCACAAGAACCCACTAAGGTAGACGCTATCATTCCTGTTTTCTAGGCTCTGAGAAGTTAAGTAAATAATAAATTTATACAGACAGAAAGTTGTAGAATGAAATTCAGATACTAATCTCCTGATGCCTAGCCTAGTACTTTCCCTACTGCTTTGCCTTTGGGGACCCATATTACATTTGTAAAAAAAATTAACCTTTTGGAGAGAGATCTTAATAGAAGAATGAGTATTGGACTGATACCCAGCCTTATTTAATAGCTGTGTTATCTTGGACACATCACTTGATCTTAGTCTCATTTTCCCCATCTATTAAGTGGGTTATAATAGCTCTCATTTACCTCACAGTGGTGTCATGATGCTCAAATGTGTATGAACATGCTTATAAATTGTGAAGTACTATACTACATGGGGTGGTGGAGGTGGTTATAGTGTATAAATATATTTATCTATAAAAATTTGTATAAATGTAACAGCAAGAAAATCTGAGATTCTTTTTGGATACTCCCATTTGAGGGCCTCCACCTCTACCAGTCTTGGTAAGATTGTTGGCTAAATAATTTGGACCTGATTGTATGGGCACAGATCCAATGATAACCCTAGTCCTGTCCCCATTATTTATGGAGTAACAGCTGACACTCATGGGAAGCATTTTCATGAAATTAGAAGGAATTTGGATGATTTGGGTGTTTCCTACTTATAGATTATATTGCTTGTCCATACATAAGAAAATGTAGAGTAACCCAATTGTTAATTGATTTTGTTTTTGAATTCATATTGTAAAGCTTTGATTGGTTTGTGAATATTCTGAAATTCATAACCATCCAGTCATTCATAAAATTCTTGATTCAGCATTTGGTGGTTTGTGTATGTGTGTAATGTTTTAGAGAAATAGTTCAATGATAAGTCTGCTTCTGAGTGAGTAGTTTAGAAAAGTAATGCTTAAAGTAGGATAATACAAAATTTTCACTTTTGTACCCTTTAGGACCTGAAATGTATTCATGTAAAGCTATATGGATAATGAATTACAGTGGTGAAATCAAAGGGTTTGCTCTTGGATGACTCTAACTTGAGTCAGGTGCTTTATGTTACAATTTCAGTGATTTCAAATCAGATCTACAAATTATGTAATTATGTTTGTACTGCAAAAGGAATTAATAATCTAATCTTGCTAATAATAATTACTATTTATTGAGTTCCTAGCCTACTATGCGAGGCACTTTTAGTCATATACATATATACATGCACACACACCCACTTCCTTATACACAAACACATAATGCATATATACATACACACATACACTCATATACATACTTTTTTTTGTTGTTGAGAGGGCATCTCTCATATTTATTGATCAGATGGTTGTTAACAACAATAAAATTCTGTATAGGGGATTCAATGCTCAATGCACAATCATTAATCCACCCCAAGCCTAATTCTCATCAGTCTCCAATCTTCTGAAGCATAACGAACAAGTTCTTACCTGGTGAACAAGTTCTTACATAGTGAATAAGTTCTTACATGGTGAACAGTACAAGGGCAGTCATCACAGAAACTTTCAGTTTTGATCACACATCATATACATACTTTTTGCAAATAATTTCTAATCAACTTTTTGAGGTAAGCAATGTAATATTCATTTTATAAATAATAAAACTGACATTTAGAAAAGTGATGCCATTTGTCCAAGCCCACGTGATAGTAAATAACACTTCATTATCTAAAGCTCGTGTAGGACTTCTTCCTAGTGAGGGTCCATTTACACATTGGAAGCTGTGGTTGTACAGTTAAGGCCCTGCTGGTTTACTAGTTCCTCTGTGTAAGTGAAGAGGTAAACCCCCACTCTAACTCTTAAGAGACAAAACTGATTCACGTAAACTGCATATTTATATAGACACTGAGCATAGTCTGTATCTTATAGACACTGAGCATAGTCTGTGTCTTCAAAAGAATTGGTGGTTTGGTAGATTGACCCAGAGAGTCAGTCAGTTAGAATACCTGGTACTCTGAGAAAAGAGCATCTAACCACAGACACAGAAGACTTCTTGGAGGAGGTGATTTATGAACTGAGATTTGAATGATGAGTGCTAGTTACTAGGTAAAGAAGTAGGAAAGGAGAATATATGAGCAGAGACATTGAATGAGTACAATATTATTCATACTGAAAATATAATAAACTATAATATATTAAATTCCTAGCAGTTAATACTTCTTGGTGTGGGGGGATAATGGTCTGTGTGGGGGATGTGCAAGAAGATAAAGCTTGAGAGGAGAGCAGAAGCCAAGTTGTTCAAGAATTAATAATAAGGTTTTAGACTTAAGTCCATCTTGCACAAAAAAAATAAGTAGTTTCATTCCTTTTTGGCTGATAAGATGAAAAATTTCAGATATGGGCTGTATCAGAAAATTCAAAACCATGTAAAAAGTTGGTTCTCATTTATTTATAACTGCCCTAATGGGGCCAAGAAACTGGATTTCCAAGTTTATAGCTCCATGGAACTATTTGGAATAGTCACTTTGAAATTAATCATGGTAATTGGCATTCTATCTAGAATATGGTTCTTAGTTCAATGATTTCTTCTTTAAATGTTCAATTTCTCTTATTTAACAAAGGTTAAATCTTATTTTAAGCCTCCAGAAATCTTGGACTGTGAAAATTGCATTTTCAGACAGATTGTAGGTTTTTATGTTTGTCAGTCTGCCCCATGGTAGTCTTTCCTAGGGCGAATGCAGATGTCCTAGTGAGTGGCAGTTTTGTCTCATGTGGTAATCTGTATTTTTTTTTTTTTGGTCTGCTTCTCTTTATCACTTAATTGGGTAGAGGCTAGGAACCTGAAAACTGAAATAAACAAAGTGCATAGACTTATATTTTTATACTAATTGAGCAGTTATTGCTCTGAAAGCAGATTCGACACATTTGTTAAATATCATGATTTTCTTAGTTCTATAAATGTAGGTTAAGTAGTGGTAGTAGTACATTTGGAGAGATCTTACCTGAATATATTTGTATTGGTTAAAGTAGACAAGAATGTAGGTGTTTTTCTGATTGACAAGATGTACTTTAGATGAATTTGTTATCATTTTGGTCCAGATCTGCTCCTTCAGTATTTTCATGAATGAAGCTGTCTGTTACCCAGAGGCATTTGGGAATTCTTTTTTTTTTAATTAAAATATCATTGATACACAGTCTGATGTTGGTTTCAAATATACACCACAGTGGTTCAGAAGTTGCCCATATTATTAAATCCTCATCCCTCTAGTGTGGTGACTATCTGTCAACATGGTAAGATGTTACAGAACCACTGACCATACTCGCCATGCTGTACTATCGTCCCTGTGACCAACTTATATTGTGATTGCAAATTATTGTGCCCTTTTCACCTTCCCTCCTTGTCTACCTCCACCCCTCCCCCTTGATAACCACTAGTCCCTTCTCTGTGTCTGTGAGTCTGCTGCTATTTTGTTTCTTCTGTTTTGCCACTGCACAAGTAAGTGAAATCATTTGGTATTTGTCTTTCTCCACCTGGCTTATTTCACTGAGCATAATACCCTCTAGATCCATCCATGTTGTAAATGGGAGGAGTTCTTTTCTTTTTATGGCTGAATAATATTCACCTATGTACCACATCTTTATAAGATTCGACACATTTGTTAAATATCATGATTTTCTTAGTTCTATAAATGTAGGTTAAGTAGTGGTAGTAGTACATTTGGAGAGATCTTACCTGAATATATTTGTATTGGTTAAAGTAGACAAGAATGTAGGTGTTTTTCTGATTGACAAGATGTACTTTAGATGAATTTGTTATCATTTTGGTCCAGATCTGCTCCTTCAGTATTTTCATGAATGAAGCTGTCTGTTACCCAGAGGCATTTGGGAATTCTTTTTTTTTTAATTAAAATATCATTGATACACAGTCTGATGTTGGTTTCAAATATACACCACAGTGGTTCAGAAGTTGCCCATATTATTAAATCCTCATCCCTCTAGTGTGGTGACTATCTGTCAACATGGTAAGATGTTACAGAACCACTGACCATACTCGCCATGCTGTACTATCGTCCCTGTGACCAACTTATATTGTGATTGCAAATTATTGTGCCCTTTTCACCTTCCCTCCTTGTCTACCTCCACCCCTCCCCCTTGATAACCACTAGTCCCTTCTCTGTGTCTGTGAGTCTGCTGCTATTTTGTTTCTTCTGTTTTGCCACTGCACAAGTAAGTGAAATCATTTGGTATTTGTCTTTCTCCACCTGGCTTATTTCACTGAGCATAATACCCTCTAGATCCATCCATGTTGTAAATGGGAGGAGTTCTTTTCTTTTTATGGCTGAATAATATTCACCTATGTACCACATCTTTATAGGAATTCTTTCAGGTGTCCTGTATCCACTAAGTCATCAACTCTTAATCAGTTCTGCCTTCTTGACATCCATTGAATTTCCTTCCTTATTTCCACTAGGCCTGTGTTGGTTCAGGTCTCAACATTTGTCAAGTGGATTATATACTACAGAGCTCTTGGTATTTGTGGATTTAAAATGGAAAGCTTCTTAGATAACACTAGAAATTTGTTACAAATAATGACACATAATTTTTGAGGCAGGAACTTGAATAGTACCCCTGCTTTACTATGGTGTTGGGAGAGAGCTCAGCTGAAGGCATTGAGACTGTGATTAGAGTAATTTACTGGAAAGTCATTATAACTTTGTTCTTTGTAGAAAAAACAAGTTCCTCTTAAAAAGCCAGCTGTTAATGCTGGTGGTAAAAGTAAACTGAAAGTGAGAGGATCTTAAAAATTTAGAGTTCTTATATATAAAATTAATGTCTTGGATTAAAAAATGAACGTTAGATTTGGTTTTGGCTCAGATTTGTAACAAACAAGGCCACCAACTGTTACATGTAGAAATAAAAACCTGGTTTTGAAACTGCTTAAGTCAAAACATCACAATTAATCTCCTAGAGTTGTAGGAAAAGTATTCACTTTGGTGCGGATGTTCCCAAAGAACATGTAACTTTCTGTGGAAAATTTCATTGGAGAAAAAGTCTGAGCCTGTATAAGCATTTCCATATTTACTAACTTGGAAATTAGAGAGAAGGTCTCTTATATCTTCCTTAAGAATGCTTAGAACCTGCTCTAATAGTCTCCTGACTGGTCTACTTCATTTTGATTCCTTCTAGTCCATTAATTACTTTGCTGCCAAGATGATGTTTACAAGGTATAAATCTGACTATACTTCTTCCTTAATTGAAATGAGCAAATTACCGAATCTCTCTACATCTAAAAAAATGAGGCTAATGTACATTTTTAATGGGATTATGGGGAGGAGTAATTTTTAAAGTATACATAAAATATTTTGTACTCCTATAAAATATTTTGAGCTCATTTGAAAAAGATTATCTGGTTATTATTGAGAAGGCACACTCCATACTCTAACAAGGCCCTTTGTGATATGATCCCTAATTATCTGTCCTTTCTCATTTTTGCCTCCCCACCCCCATCCTGTGTTCCAGTCAAAGAACCACTTGGTGTTTCCCACATGGCCTTCTCTGTTCATACATTTGCACTTGTGATTTTCGGTTCCCTGAATTCACCTCTCCCTGCTTCCAATGCATACTGCTTGCTCTCTGAGTTCCCATAGCTCCCTTTATAAATGTGTATTATAGCATTTCATACCATAATACAGTTATCTCTATTTGTTGGTTTCCCTCACTAGTCTGTGAGTTCTTTGAGTGTAGAATTGATGTTTTATTTTTGTTTTCCTGTTCCTGGTAACTAGGCATAAAATTGAATGGTTATTAAGTAAATGTTTGTTTTATTGAATGAGTGAATGAATGACCAATAAAGGGAAAGAATGGAATGAAAAGGAATGGAGAGACGGTGGACAGTAGGGGTTAAGGCGAAGGATTCTGGAGGCTGGATTTATAGCCCAGCTCTGTAATTTACACTCTTTGTGACCTTGAATGAGTTACTTAATCTTTTTTGTGCCTTGCTTTTTTTCTTTTTTCCCCCATATTAAAAATGGAACTAATAATAATATTTACTTGATAAGGGGACTAAGTGAGTTAATATATGAATAAACAGTGTACAGCACATAGATATTAGCTGCTGCTGCTCATGTTTTTTTTTATTTTCCTAATTCAGAACCCATAGGCATCTTCAATATCAAGAATAAAGTTATTTTTATGCATTTATGTTGGCTGCAAACTTTTAATTTCAAAATAATATTTAAGTCTTAAAAGTTGTAAATTTGCTCTGGATTTTTTTGTTTTACAGGGCTCTATGGAGCAAGTCAGTTCTCATTTCTTGGAGCAGACACTTGACAAGAAGCTGATGTCAGATCTGAGGGTAAATTGAACTCTTTGTTGTTTAAACTTTGTTTCTGTAACCAATGTCAGTGCAGCTATATGCAAAGTTGTGTTGATTTAATTTGCAGCCCATGCATTTGTCAAATTAATGTAGGGTGACTAGACTACATTTTAATTTAAAATCTTAGTAAGTTGAACCAAATTACAAGTTACTTCATTAAATTTTAAGTTAATTAAACACTTTGTACAGGTTGTATTTTACAAAGAAGAGGCAAGATTACTAATTTGAAAAGATACATGCATCCTATGTTTATTGTAGCATTGTTTACAATAGCCAGGATATGGAAGCAACCTGTTAGGTAAAGAAGATGTGGGGCACACACACACACACACACACACACACACACACACACACACACGCATGGGCGCACACGTGCACGCGCACACACACACATTAATATTACTCAGCCATAAAAAAGAATGAAATCTTGCCATTTGTGACAACATGGATAGATCTAGAGGGGATTATGCTAAGTGAAGTAAGTCAGAGAAAGACAAATGCCATGTGATTTTACTTATATATAGAACCTAAAAAATAAAACAAATACACTCATAAATACAGAGAAAAAATTGGTGTTTGCCATAGAAGATGGGGGTAGGGGGATGGACAAAATATGTGAAGGGGTTAAAGAGATACAAACCTCCAATTATAAAATAAACAAGTCCTAGAAGTACAGCATAGAGAATATAATCAGTATTGTAATAACTGTCTGGTGACAGATGGGTACTACACTTAACTGTGGTCAGCATTTTTTTAACATACATAATTTTCAAATCACTATGTTGCACCCCCTCAACCAGTATGTTGTGTATCAGTTATACTGCAGTTAAAACGAAAAGAGTTAAGGTTAACTTTCTGTTTCTTCATGAGATTGTATGACATCTCAGAATGACTTTTCCACAGCAGTTCCTGTGAGAGAACGAATAAATTCTTTCCCTGAACAGTAACGAAATGCCTCTTGGAATGCCATTAAGCTTTGATTGTGATAGTTCTCTGACATGGTTGTCAGTACCAACTGAGTCTGAGAATATGATATGTACATATTAAAGTAAGATATATCAACATCTTAATTTTTTAAATTTCTAAGTGATAATAAAGAGTTACAGAATCTTTGATAAATAGAAGGAAAAGGAAGCAATTTACCCATATTTCCACTACTGTAACACAGTGACTTTCGTCTTGATATATTTTGATATATTTTTTATGCATGTTTTTAACATTGCATCATTGAATGCAGATAATTTTGTAGTCTACTTTTTACATTTGTCACTACATATGTTTTTTTTCATATTGCCAACTTCATATTAGTGTTTTCATGATGGCATAATATTCTGTTAAGTGGAAATACTATCACTTTTAGCCTTTTATTGTACATTTAGATTCTCCTAATTTTTTCCCATTATATATCACATAAAGAATATCATCTTCATGCATAATAGACCTGTTCTTCTTTTGAGTTCTTCCATGAGAAAAATTCTTAGGAATTGTTGAGGAATTGATTATCTGTGCTTCATGAAACATTGCCATATGGCATTGCCTTTATTTGAGGTTGGTGATTGTTCTTTGTGTTTACTGGGGTGGAAGTATAAAAAAGGACATGCTTATGGTGAGTGGTGAGGGATTGTTAATGCAAGGGTTTCTAAGATGCCACAAGGTACAAACTTTACGACTGGGTCTGACCCACATCCTTGTAGGCTCAGGTGCCATATTTCAGCAGTGCCTTTGAGATAATCAGCCATAGGATGACTCACACCAAGAAGGTTCCTAAGAGGCTGATGTATAAGTAGAATGGTAATTAACATTTATGATGAGAATATAATTGTCAAGTGGTCTGGATATTTACTTTAGCTGACTAGTATATTCCCCTTTAGGCAATCTGTGCAGAAAGTGGATTTACAAGAAGGGTGCTTTGTGAGCACAGTGTTGATCAAAAATTGAGCACAGAGGTTGTCAAATAGAGACTACTTCTTTCTTCTACTGGGACTGAAATAGTTCTTTCCTCGGGCCAGTGTATTATCTACCCCGGATAGTGGTTGGAGGGACACTGTCACTGCCTCTCTGGTTCTTCCTTTCCTGTTGCCATGACAGATGCAATCACCTGGCTGATCAACATATTCTTTTGCTGTCTTTAATAAGTTTATTAGCAGCTGTGATAGACCTGCGAGCCTTTGGTTTTACTTTACATTGAATTTGCATTTCTCTATACTGATCTATTGAGTATTTTTTTTTGAAAGTGTAATTCTCAGAGAGCAGTTTTATTTCTTACCTTCCCAAGTTCTCAGAGTACATTTCACTGATCCCTAATGAACCTCCTGCAAGTGGTAATTATTGGTGTCTTCCACAGAGGAAACGTACTGCACATGAGCGTGCCAAGGAACTTTACAGTTCAGGGGAGTTTTCCAGCGGCAGGAAGTGGGGAGATGATGCTCCCAAGGAAGAAGTAGATACGGGTGCTGTGAACTTGATTGAGTCAGGAGCTTGTGGAGCCTTTGTTCATGGATTGGAAGATGAAATGTATGGTAAGTGTGACTGCATAATAGTAACAGTGCCCAATTACTGAGTGGCTTCATTCATATCTAGACTAATGGTTTTTTTTTTTCAGTCTTTCAAAGATGTTCCACAGTTTGCCAGTTTGCATTGTTTCTGTTGATAAATCTGCTGGATTTTTTAATATTTGTTCTATACATATATCTTTTTTTTTCTAGCTGTCTTTAAGATCTTCTCTTTACTGCTCATTTTAAGTGATTTAATTATAATATGTCTTGGTGTAGTTTTTTTTCTTTGTTTCTTGGAGCTGTGTGTTTATAGTTTTTATAAGATTTGGAAAATCTTTGGCTATTATTTCTTTAAATATTTTTCTGGTCCCGTGCTCCACTGGGGACTCCAGTTACACCTATGTTAGAGTATTGAGGTTGTTCTTTAGCACATTGGTGCTCTTCCTTTTTTCCTAGTTTTTTTCCTCTTTTTTTCATTTTGGATAGTATGTATTGCTTTGTATGGGAGTTCACTAATCTTTTCTTCTGCATTGTCTAATCTGCTGTTAATTCCATCCAGCGTATTTTTCATCTTAGACATTGTTTGATTAGAAGTTTATTAGAAGAATTTAATAATATGCATAATGGTTGAACCACTGTGTTGTATACTTAAAAACAGTATATTGTATAGAAGTATATTTCAATTAAAAAAGTTTATTAGAATTTAGAAGTTTGGTTAGAATTTGGGGTATCTTCCAGGTATCTACTTAATGTATTTTATCTTTTCTCTAACATTGTCAACAGAGGATGCATTTACAATAACTGTCCTAATGTCCTTGTCTACTAGGTCTACTAATTAATTGTATTGTGTAATTTCTAGGTTGGTTTTGACTGATTGATTTTTCTCCTCATTATGGATTATATTTTCCTGCTTCTCTCTATGCCTAGTAAATTTTGGATACCACCCTTTGTGAATTTTGCTTTGTTAGGTGTTGAACACTATTACATTACTATAAATATTCTTGAGCTTTTGTTGTTGGATGTGGTTATTTCAGGTTTTATTTTTAAGCTTGTTTAGATGGGACCCAAGCAGTTTAGTCTAGGGCTTATTTTTCTCCATTATTGAAAGAAACTCTTGCTGAAAAAGAAACAAACAGTTGTAGACCATGTGTGAGCTTTGGAGATTGTTCTGTTTCATCCTGTTAGGTGGTTCTTTCTCAGACCTTGGATACTTTCATCATAGATCAGAACGCAGCTCATGACTGAAGGAGGACCTTCTGCTGATCTCCCAAGCTTGCTCTTTCTGTGCAGTTCTCTCCTTTCTGGTACTTTGAACTCTACCACATTGGCCGTTTCCAGACTCCCAGGTCTATCTTCTGAACTCTGGGAGACCTGTTACCTGGAAATTTTCTCTAGACAGTAAACTGGTATAATTTATTTCACCATCTCTCAGGAATAACTACCCTTTATTTCTTGATGTCCAATGTGTTGAATACTGTTGTTTCATGTATTTTGACTCTGTTTTTAGCTGTTTCAGACAGAAAAATATCTGTTATTCCATCTTAGCCAGTAATAGAAATTCTGCAAAGCTCTTACGATTTCCGTAATATGATGCTATCTCACATAGATCATACAATATCAGTGCTTTGAGATGACTGATTTCAATTTGCTCATTTACAGTCAGGGTAACAGACCTGGGGAGATAATGTTGATTGTCCAAACTTTATAGCAAATTTGTGTCAGGATTAGAACTCAGGTCTTTAAAATGCCTATGAGAAATTACCTCAGAATAGAATTTCTTCTTAGATGGGCAAGAAAATTACCTTTGAAAGACAATTTTCTGTTAGTAGATATAAGGCTTAGGATACACTATCCAATTTCCTACAAGGGTTTCTGTGTATAGGTATACCCCTACTTTCTGAAAGTTCATATTACACCACTTCCCTTTTATGAAAGACCTACTAAAAGACATCCAGAGAGGATTTTCACTTTTACAAAAAAAGCCATCACCATACTAATAATGTAGGACTTTCATAATAGGGAAGTGACATAATGTGAACTTATGGAAAGCAGGGGATAGCCTTCACTTTATGACATTTCGGCTTAGGAACAGTTTCATAGGAATTATTCCACTTCCAGATAGTGGGGAAAAAGTATAGAAATCAGTTAAAAGCTACCTCTGCATTTTTGTTCTCTATGAACTTGATATATGAATTACAATTTAAATAGCGTTAGATTAATAAGGGAGTCAGGTTACTAAAACCCATTTTATCTTAAGACAAGTATCTGGAACCTATTTTATTTAGTTTCTTCTACATTTTTGTTTTGTTTAGTTTCTACAACTGGATTTCATTACTGTATTTATGTAGTTTAGTTCTAGTTTTCAGTTTGTCACTAAGGTTTAATTAAGGGAACTTTGGAAAGTGAATAGATCATAACTGTCATCAGATATGGCAGCTTTCTAATTTTATCATATTTATAAAATACTGGGTCAATTAGGGTATTAAGGAACACACTGATGGAAATGAAAGGGAGCCTTATTTCATTGGCTGGAGATTCTAGTATCATGCATACTTTTAGTTCGCTAGGTGTTCCATGTTCTTTTTCCTTCCTGGGCTCTGTGCTTCTTCTTTGTGTTCTCATATTCTGTGCTTTTTCCATTGTACTGCTCACCACTTTGTACTGCTTAACTATTCTTGTCTGTAGGCACTGGGAGACAGTCTTGTTTTTGTTCATCTTCATACCTAAAGACTAAGCACAAAACTATTAAGTAGCAAAGCCAGGATCTCATTTTTTCTCCAAGCGTAGCTAATTCCTTTTTTCTGCCCTAGACCCCTAAGGTGGCAGTAATATATTTTCAACATTTCAAAAAGTCCTGTAGAAATTACCAACTGCCTGTAGCCAAACTGTACATTCAGAGTAAACACAAAGTTTCTTTGCTTCTGCTTAGAATTACATCAGCTAAGGTCATACTGATTATCTCATGCCAATCAGAAGTTTCTCTGTGATTCCCCTGATTGACTTGCAAGAATTACACCTAAGTCAGTGTGGTGTAATAGGTAAAACCCTAGGAAGAGGAGCCAGCAGTTAACACATTTGGGTCCATCTCTGGCTTGCTTTGTAATCATTAGCAAGTTTGTGTTTAAAATACATTATTGTGAAGAGGAGCAAATCTTTTGATGAAAGGGAAGAATTCATAACTACCAAAAAATCTGAGTCATCTTCCCTTAAGGTAGTAACTGCTTTTAAAGTGTCTATGAAACCTTTCTTATATCAAAGACAAATTATATTTGTGAGCTTTAACCACAATTTGAGTGTTTTTCTTTTCTTTTTTGAAACTATATGCTTTGTTGCAGAGCCATGTGGGTACTACTGGAACAAAGCAAGCATATATGGAAGTCTTGTGAGCATTGGCTATAGCTTACTCATCCCTCATCTCTGTATCCTAGCACCCAGAACTGGCACAGGGCCTGGCATGTAGCCCATGTTCAGAAAACATCGTTAGTGAATGAACAAAGGGCTCCCTGGATTCAGTGGCTTTACTGTGACATGTTCTGAGCATGTAAAGAGGTAGAAGATGTATCTATTTTCAAGGTGCTTATGAGACCCATACCTATGCCATAACGGATATTTCTTGAGCTTTTAATACATGCTGGACAGTGTGCTATGTGTTTTGCCTACATTATGTGGTTTAGTCTTCCTAACTACTCTGTAAGGAAATGGCTATTACCGCTGTTTAACAGGTGAGAAAATTGAGGTGCTAGGAAATTAGGTTAATTATTCAAGATCACTCTCCAAGTTAGTGGAAGGATTATTCTTCACATTTCACTGTGAGACCTCTGTCATCCCAGAGCCTCTCCCCTTAACCACTATGCGATGCTAGTCTAGAATGAGTAGACCGAGTACTCATAATGTCTTTGCTCTCACTCACTTTGAGGCAAGTTAATTTCACCTTGTTGAATTTTATCTCTAAAATTGGAATAATGATTCTGGCCTATTTTAATCTTAATAATTATTTAAAAACTGCCATTTATGTAAGTACTGTGCTGTGGTTGGACTGAGATAAATAAGAACTTAGATTCTCAAGAAATTCAGTTGATGGGGACAGACATGTGACTTGCTCACATGTCTGTGGAGTCGGGATCTAAACCTTAGTCCGTGTGACACCAAGGTCCTTGTCTATAGGTCAGCATGAAGCTTGGCAGCTGGATCTGTGGGCACGGAGGAGACCTTCCAGAGGGATTTGGTAGAATGAGAGGAGCGAAAGACAAACCTGAATGGGAAGGAATCCTTCTTAGATTTTTCCCATGGCTTTTAACTTAATGTGCAGTTATATCTGTCCCCTTTTCGCTAGAGGTCCGCATTGCTGCTGTGGAGGCACTCTGCATGCTGGCCCAGTCTTCACCCTCTTTTGCTGAGAAGTGCCTTGATTTCCTGGTTGACATGTTTAATGATGAAATTGAGGAGGTACGTCTACAGTCCATACATACCATGAGAAAAATCTCTAACAACATCACCCTCCGAGAGGATCAGCTTGACACTGTCCTGGCCGTATTGGAGGTGAGTGTTCAGTTTGTTACTCATCTCTGGCATTAGTGCCTATTGAGTATCACTTTTTTTTTTCCAACCAGGCATTGTGCTAGGTATTGGTGGCGCAGTAGTATATAGGCAGCCCAGCTCTGCCTCACATTCCACAACTCCACCAAGATGGAGGAGACTGACTGCTAAACAGGAAATTCCAGTAAAGCTTAGTATTGCTATGATCAGGAAAGGCAGGGTGCCCTGGCAATACAGAGAGTACCTAACCTGAGTTGTCTGAGGTACGGCTGGGGAGATAGGGAAGAAAGGAGGAATGCAGGAGTGAACACGTGAAGGACGAATGGACTTAATGAGGCATTTTCTTAGGAAGGGGTGGCACTGACAGTGGTGTAGAGGGTACCAAATGGAGGGAGCAGTGTCTAAGGATCCAGAGGTAAGAGTAAGTATAATATATTTAAAGAATTGAAAGGAAGTAATTGTAGTGCCATAGAGTTGAAGAGGTGGAGGAAGGAAGGGAAGTGGCAGAAGAGAAGACAGGGGCTAAAGAATGAATTCTTTTCTGCCTTTGATTTGATTTACTTCTTCTAGTGAATCATAGGACATTGCAATAGGAAGGGAATCTTAGGGATCAGTTCATTCAGCCCTGCAGTTTTACAGAGAAAAAAAGTAATTTGTTTCAGGTCACACAGCTACTAAGTGGTTGTACCCAGATATAAGAGGCTGTTCAACTCGATGTGGTTTTTGAAATATTTTTCTAAAGTGTCTGGACTTTCTTTGTGAGCACTGAAGTTTTTCATAATATTAATAAATGATATTTGGCTTCTGGCTTTCTTTTTTTTCCAGATATTGTGAAAGGGATAGCAATTTGTTTAGTCATTAGTACTTGTTACAGATTTCTGCTACCAACTTCATAAAATAGATTGGGTGTTTGACTTGGAAGTTCCCTATTATTTTCTCAGTTGCTTAGAACTTATATTAAGATTTTTCCTGAATTATAAATCTTTATAATTTTTCATGTATTTTTTTCCTAGGAAGGTAAGGTTGTATTCCATGTATTATTCATCATGGATGATCTCTATAAACTAGCCCCTTCTTTCCTTTTTTTTAGCTTTCTTTCCCACCGTTCTCACTTTTTGTTTTGTTTTGTTTTGTTTTGTTTTTTGGTATAATTAATCTACAATTACATGAAGAACATTATATTTACTAGGCTCCCCCCTTCACCAGGTCCCCCCCACATACCCCTTCACAGTCACTGTCCATCAGCATAGTAAGATGCTGCAGAATCCCTACTCGTCTTCTCTGTGTTGTACAGCCCTCTCCGTGCCCACCACCCCCCAACTACACATGCTAATCGTAATGCCCCCTTTCTTTTTCCCCACCCTTATCCCTCCCTTCCCACCCATCCTTCTCAGTCACTTTCCCTTTGGCAACTGTTAGTCCATTCTTGGGTTCTGTGATTCTGCTTCTGTTTTGTTCCTTCAGTTTTTCTTTGTTCTTATACTCCACATATGAGTGAAATCATTTGGTACTTGTCTTTCTCTGCCTGGCTTATTTCACTGAGCATAATACCCTCTAGCTCCATCCATGTTGTTGCAAATGGTAGGATTTGTTTTCTTCTTATGGCTGAATAATATTCCATTGTGTATATGTACCACATCTTCTTTATCCATTCATCTACTGATGGACACTTAGGTTGCTTCCATTTCTTGGCTATTGTAAATAGTGCTGC